AGGATCAGTATTGCGATAGAACTTCCTGAGTTGTAGATGAACAATTAAACGCAACAAGGCGGCTAAGAGACTCAAACACTCATCAGTGTTGTGCCCCGGTGATTTGTGATAGTCGCAATATCGAATTTGTCTAACTTTTCCTCGGGCATTCGAAGTGGTTTGGGATCGGGCAGAATGCCTTTCCCTTTGATCTCTTCATAAATGGTGGCAGCTCCGGCTGAATAAACGGTTTGATAATCGGATTTCACGTCGGTAGCATATTGTTTCCGAGTTGCTCTGATTTCGGGGTCGTTGGCGTCTCCTCGGGGGTAACCTCTAAATTGAGCCTTGTTTTGTTTGTCAAAGGATTTGTTTTTCTTTCTCTCATTGGTTCCTGACTTTGATGACTTCGGATTGAAATTAAAATCGGGGACCGACATGGCTTCCTCGGCAATGATATGTTGCTGAGCTCGGGCAAAGAATTCCTGGAAGGTGTTCGGCTTATTCTGGCACAACGTCCAGTGGAAAATCGAGTTCGGTTTCAACCCGGTGATAGCCATAACAAGCAAGGTTTCAGGATGACATGGCTCCATGTTTTGAACTCGGTCATTAAATCGAGCAATATAGTCCTTGACGCTTTTATCGTCTTTTTGAGTTACATTTGCAAGGGATTCTTTTGGAACCAAACAAACTTGGGCCCCGATGAAGTGAGATCGGAAAGCCGACCTCAGCTGTTGCCACTTCCAAATAGAAAGAGGGGCAATGAGTGGTACCATTTTTGAGCTCGAGGCCCCAGAGTAAGAGAAAACATGCGACACCGAAGTGCGTCTGAGGCTCCATGTAGGTCCATCCACGAGGTGTAATGACCGAGGTGAGAGTCGGGATCCAAGGTCCCATCGTATAACCTGATTTGGGGAACTTTGACTTTTCCGGATACAGGTTCCAAAGTGAGTTCAGGCGTGAGAGGGGAGTCGGCTTCCAGATATACTTGCGCCGAGGTCGAGGCCCGTCGAGGAGGATCTTCGGGCATCCTTTGCCGACTCTCCAATTCGGCGATCCTTCGTTGCAGCGTTTCAAGTTCAGAGGATTCTTGGCGAGCCCGGTTTCTTTCAATGTGTTGACGAAGGTTGGTCTGCGCCGGGTTAGAGGGGATTCGGTGTCGCGTATGAGGTGGCGAACGCCGTGAGTATCCAGACTGACTCTCGACGGTTTCTTCACGAGGAATCACAAGGGGAGTATGCCCAACGTCGGCGTGACGTGTGGTTTTTTTCGGGTGCGGCTGCGACGTTCGACTGCGAGGTTGAGACGTGGCGTGAGAGGTGGTTCTGCCACCGTCTTGTCGCGCCGGTGGAATCTGCGGGTTAGCGGGAGTCGTGGGTATTATGGAATGTCCTGGTGCAGTCGTTGATGTTCCAGGGATTGTTTGAGCCATCAGAGCGGCGAACCCACGTGCAAACTCCAGATTTTAGAACAGAACAGTATAATCTGGTACATTGGGGCTGCTACTTGACGTCTGGCGGATTGAGCGGCACTACGACTGTGGCCATCTCGCTATGTATGACCACGATGGTCTAAATGAGAGCGATAGATGTGGGTAACAAAACACGAATCGGGGATTAACCTCAAATAACTTATGATTATTAGTGATTTGAACGTAACGTATGTATGAAATGCTCAACAATGGCCCCGGTCCGAGGTGAAAAGCTTCTGTGAGCTGTTTCGTGTTTCATCATAAAAAAGTTCGGTTCGGGAATCCTATCCCCTACAAGTATCATGAGCTTGCTATTTATAATAACTTTTTAAGATACATATTGGGATTCGTGCGATGCTTTTTGCATAAAGCTACTTTTGATGGCCGACATTTGTCAGCGGGTCCCACCTGATCTCGTGGTTTGTGAGAATGGCGTGTAGGCGCCTTGTCACCAGCTTAGGATGTGGTGACCTCGGTTCATGTTGATCTCGGTTGGGGTGACCTCGGCTGGTAGTGATCACTTCGGTCTTCTATGGTTATACCGGTTTGTCATGCGAACCGGGGTAATTTTGGACCATGTCGGTGTAAGTGTTAAGTTGCCTAAGATGCCGTTTTAGGCTCATAACAGTGAATTATCGAGTCGGATGATAACACGTTCTATTACAGAAGATAGACCTTTACTGAGAAGTGACATGAACCATAAGCCCAGACGTTGCCCGAAAAATAAAATAGTGTAAGTAAGAAGAAGACGGTTAGGATTACATAGGTCTAATGTCGGAAGGTCAAGGAAGTAGGTTACCTGATGACAGGAGAGCCAGAGATCGAAGGTCAGGTGAATGCACTGAGTCACCAACGATAGGCTCAACAACTTGCTAGACGTAGTGGGTTGACTGCTCTACTGGGACAACTTCAGCACATGAAATATGGTCGACTACAAATGGTCACGACCTCACGGCAAAGAAAGACTCTGTGGTTGACTGTCCTGCGATGACTTCGATATATAACTTTATTTTTACCGGCAAGTATCTAAACTGACAAATAAAATAAAGTCGAGGCATGTGAAACATGCTTTCTTTAACATTAAATTGTCTCGTTAAAAAATCCACGGTTAACAACAATCTTTTTCAGGATAGAATAACTTTTAATTGTACATAGTGAGACTTTAAATATAATTACAAAAGTCTGCAGCAAACTAATATTCGTAAACTCTCAACGATGAAATAAAGATATTCAAGGAATTAATATGATGAATAATGATTAAAAATAATGCAAGAGATGTCTTAATATAAAAAAAATAATAATAATACGTTTATGAGATATTTATAAAAAAACCGTAGAGACATCAATAGGGAGCTTATGAGTCAATATACACAAATCCGAACGTGCTTGGTGCGAAAAAATGCGACCAAAACCGGGTTGATGCCCTTTCATCATCAATCGATGCATTCAAATTGCAAGCCCGTCAAGCTTGCAATTGCATCCCACCCAGATATAGCAATTAGACCATCTTTATCCCTAACCCAACTCAACCTAATAATTAACAATTATTTCTCTCTCCTCCACCTATACAACCCAACCTTAGAACTAAATTTATCTTTATCCCTAACCAAACCCAACTCAACCTAAATATTTATTTTATTTTAGTTTATCTAAAAAATTCAATTGTGTTTTAAAAGATATCAAGTGTGGTCTCTATTTATAGAGAATTAAAAAATATAAATTTTAGTATTTATTTTTTTAAAGAAAAAAAATACTTTTAGCCAATCAAAGAGGGACAAGTGTCCCATTATGATACCTAACCAGTTGCAACCTTGGTCACAATGTAACCTAGGTTGGCAACCATGACCTTTTCTTTTCTTTTTTGGATTTTTTTTATTGGTTTAAAATGGTGACCCTCTCAATTGGGTCACCTATAAATGTAGCCTTAGCATCGCGAACCGCACCAGACCTTAATCAAAGTCCGTAAACACTCACCTGCGCTCGTTTTTCTGTACTTGTCCGTTTCCGATTCTAACAAATTTTATAGGTAGTCAGAACTTAGAATTAACTTTTTATTCATCCTAAAACAGTTTCAATATTTTTCTAAGTTTTGCATATATCCCCTCTTAATATAATTTCAAAACATGCTGAGCCTAAATGGCTGGCTCACACGCTTCGGGAGCTTACTTGGCAACGTTACATGCTTCGGCTTTTTGTTCGGATAAAAATTAATATAATTATATTCCAAAATAAATTGGTTCGGACATACTATAATTACATTCCCTAATTATTTAAAACACAATATTTAATAACATATCCAAAATGAATCATTCCATTGCACACATGATATATATATTGCACACGTGATATATGATATATATGCAAATTGAACCATTCCATTGCTTGTGTTGTTTATAAAGAGTTGATTGCTCAATTTTTTTGGTATTATATGTGAAATCTGATCCCCCTTCATTTATGTATATATGTATATTAATCAAATTTTCTTCCACGATTATCTCAATACTTTTTTTATTCATTTTCTTTTCTGTTACTTATCTTCTAAATCAATCATATTAATTTATTTCTCAATTTTTTTTCTCCAATGTTCATATATTACTCATTTCAAAGATGAAATTATACAATATCATTATTTTAAAATGATATTTATTTCAAATCTTATTGGTATATTGTCAACCTAACAAAAATATAATTATTTATTCATATTCCAAAATTAAAAATATTAAAGAAGTATGAAGCACGACTGATACAACATTTGATCTATTAGACAACTAATTAAGTAAAAAACTAATCTATTTTACTTATTATTCAACAAACATATTCTACACTTATGCATATACATATCACCATATTATTTCTATGTATCTAAGTTATATGTTTTTGTACTCATGTAATAATGAATAATATATTTTTTTGATTCGATTTGTAGTTTGACAATTTAATTAAAAACTCAAAGTAATATTTTCATAAAATTAAATTATTTTAGTTTTAGATTTTTTTTTAAAAAAAAATATTCAATATTTTTAAAATATGCTTCTAAATTCAACACTCGTGTAATACACGGGTTATTGTACTAGTAAAAAAAAATTAAACCTAAAACCTACTAAACCTAATTTTCTTACAAATTTTTTAACTCTCTCAAGCCGGTCAGGGCCTACGCGTCCCGGTCCATATTTGCTCGTCTTTCTTGTCTTCAAACCATGAGTCCAAATCTCCGTTTTTTTTTCCAACACAAAAAGAAAAAGAGAGAGAGAGAGAGAGAGAGAGAGAGAGAGAGAGAGAGAGAGATGCCCCACTCTTTTGCTTGCAGAAGCAGAACAATAACTCAAGCAGCTGCAGCACAGAGACCTGCAAAAAGGAAATAAAAAAAAAAAAAAAAGAACTTCAAAAAGAGAATAAAATTGTCTGAGTCCACTGTGAAATCTTTGGCATTAACTGCAGTCTTTATCTTTTATACCCTTCTTCTCTTCCCTTTCATGCAAATACCCCTTTTTCTTCTTCTTCTTCTTCTTCTTCTTCTCTCTCCACACACCCCAACAACACACACACAGCCATGGCGGATGAAGATGAACCCACCAACACAAACCCAACAACAAAATGCACTCCAAAAGCAAGAAATTTTATCAGAGGGGCTCCAAATGCAAATACCTACAAATACCACCACCACCACCACCACCACCTGCTGCAAAATCCTTATGGCCTCGGCTGCACAAATCAATACCAAATCTTTCAGGGCCTGCTCCCTCTGCCTCCTTCTGTATCTCCCTATTTTTCACCTAATCAGATGCTCCAGCCGAGAGCCCATTTCAAAATGGCCCCAAGAAGATGGGATAATTTCATTTCTGCCCCTCCCTCTGATTCCAAGTCTCCAGATATCCCAGTTGTTGCTCGAGGTGGGTTTTTTTTTTTTTTTTTTGGTTTAAAGTTTGGATTTTTACTTCTTGTTCATGCGTGGATTTCTTAATTATAGCATTCTCTCTTGATTGTTTCTTGATTTTGACTGTGGATTATCTTGTTTTTTCATTGCCCATGAGAATCTTGTGACATTGTTGTTGTTATCTTTTAGTCATCAAGCAATAGTTAAATGGCTCAGCTCTTGTTTTGTAGCATGTTTGCTGTTGTGAAAAGCACAGGGCAAGCTCTTGCCTTTTTATGTAGTTGAAGATGTTTGTAAGACAATCTTTTAGTCTTAAAGACAAGGGAAGATGCTACGGTCCCGTTACGGAACCATTCCGTCGAAGTTTGTAACCGTTAGATCAACTATCTCTGACGGTTACGTGATGATCTAACTGTTACAAACCTCGACGGAATGGTTCTGTAGGACCGTAGCATTTCCCAAAGAGAAGATTGAATTTATGGACACCCATTAAAACCATCCTTAAGGTATACTTATAACAGTTCAGAAAAAAAAATACAGTAATCCTTGCATATTTTATATTTGCCTAATTGCTGTAAAGTAAAAACAATTGCCAAACTGTAGTTCTGAAAGTTCTTATGGTTTCTTGTATGATAAAGCTATTCTGTAGGTTATAATTGTTAATTAACCTTATAATTAGATCATCATTAACCTTATTACACTGTGTTTTTGCTAGTTCCTGAAATGGTTTTCTTTTCAGTTTCCTTAGCAGATGTGGAAAAGAAAATATGCCTGCCAAGTGACAAGCGAAATGCCGCAAACATTATGGGTCCAAAACCAGATTCATCATATTCACTTGCTAAAAGACCAGATACCGGTGGGGTTGAAGGCAGACCCATCACCCTTCTCGCCAACCATTTCTTAGTCAAATTCGACCAGTCTCAAAAAATCTTCCAATACGATGTCGAGATAAGCCCGAATCCGTCAAAAGAGCTGGCGAGATTGATAAAGCACAAGCTGGTTGAAGAGAACCCAGAAAAGCTATCAAATGCCCATCCGGTTTATGACGGCCGAAGGACTATTTACAGCCCCATCGAGTTCCAAAATGAGAAGCTCGAGTTCCACGTTAGCCTCCCGGTCGAGAAAATCTCGCAATCCTTGGATAGAAAACGGCATGACAAGATTTTCCGGGTGAATATCAAGCTTGTGTCCAAGCTCGAGTTCAAGGGATATGATTCTGATTTTCATCAGCTCCCTCAAGAGTGTATCCATGCACTGGATGTAGTTTTGCGCGAGAATCCCAATGAAAAGTGCTTATCCAACGGCCAATCATTTTACTCGAGTTTAATGGGAGGAGCAAAGGAGATTGGGGGAGGGGCTATAGCACTTAGAGGGTTTTTCCAAAGCTTGAGGCCAACTCAGCGAGGCCTCAGTCTCAATGTGGATTTCTCAGTCACGGCCTTTCACGAGAGTATCGGGGTGATCCCTTATTTGAAAAAGCGTCTCCATTTCATGCATGATATTGTTTCTCAAAACACTGCGAGGATTTTGACTGGTGAAGAGAAAAAAGAAATCGAGAGAGTGTTAAAGAACATGAGAGTCTTTGTTAGCCATCGAGAAACTTTACAAAGGTATCGAGTTTACGGCCTGACGGAGGAGATTACGGAGAATCTTTGGTTTACGGATAGAGATGGGACGCGCTTAAAACTCGTGAGCTACTTTAAGGATCATTATGAATACGACATGCGGTACACGAATTTGCCTTGTTTACAGGTTAGCAGGCGGAGGCCTTGCTATCTTCCCTTGGAGCTTTGTGCAATTTGTGAGGGGCAAAAGTTTCTCGGCAAGCTCTCGGACGACCAAACCGTTAAATTACTCAAAATGGGGTGTCAGAGGCCGAGAGAGCGCAAGAAAATCATCGATAGTGTTATGGAGGGACAATTCGGGCCAACTAGGTAAAATTTAGTTACTTAAATGTACTTCAAACTTTATTCTTTTCCTCAAAAAAATCTGTATTAAATCCTAGCTTGTTTTTGGCTTTGTCCTTTTACTTTCTTTTCTTTTTTTGGCAACAGTGGCCATCAAGGAAGAGACTTCAAGCTTGATATATCAACAGAAATGATGAAACTGACTGGGAGGATCCTTGAGCCCCCTAAACTCAAACTCGGAAACACCGGCCACGTAAGGAATCTAACCCCTTACAGACATGACCGGCAATGGAATCTTCTCGACAGCCATGTCGTGGAGGGCACCCATGTCGAGCACTGGGCTGTCATAAGCTTCGGCGGGACCCGCGAGCAGAAATGCACGGTGCTGAAATTCATAAACCGGCTGTCCCAAAGGTGCGAGCAGCTCGGCATTTCACTCCAGAAAAACACAGTGATCGCTCCCCTTTTCGAGCCCATGCACATCCTCGGGAGCCCGAAGCTTCTAGAAACCAAACTCCGGCAAATTCACCGAGCCGCTTTCGGAAACCTCCAACTGCTCGTGTGTGTAATGGAGAGAAAACACAGAGGGTATGCGGATTTGAAGCGAATAGCCGAGACGAGCGTGGGCTTTGTGAGCCAGTGCTGCTTGTATTCGAACGTCGTGAAAATGGGCTCGCAGTTTCTCTCAAACTTGGCCCTCAAGATAAACGCCAAGGTCGGGGGATCCACGGTGGCCCTTCATGACCCGATTCCTTCCGAGATTCCGAGGATCTTCGGTTTTCACGAGCCGTCCATCTTCATGGGGGCCGACGTGACCCATCCCCACCCTTCGGATGATTTCAGCCCGTCCGTGGCTGCCGTGGTCGGCAGCCTCAACTGGCCGGCCCCGAACCGGTACGTCTCGAGAATGAGGTCCCAAACCCACAGGCAAGAAATCATAAAGGATCTCACCGCAATGGTGAAGGAGATTCTCGAAGATTTCGCCCGGGAAGTCTCGAAACTCCCGGAGAGAATCGTCTTCTTCCGGGACGGGGTCAGCGAGACCCAGTTCCGGAAGGTTCTGGAAGACGAGCTTAGTCAGATCCGCGAGGCGTGCTCGCGGTTCACGGGGTACGGCCCGCGGATCACGTTCGTGGTGGTGCAGAAGAGGCACCACACGAGATTGTTCCCGGCCGATGGGGAAGGGAATGAGAATGAGAACGTCCCTCCCGGGACGGTTGTGGACAGCGCGGTGGTGGGGCCCTCGGGTTTCGATTTCTATCTGTGCAGCCACTGGGGGGCGAGGGGGACGAGCCGGCCGGTGAGGTACAACGTGCTGTGGGACGAGAACGGGTTCACGTCGGACGAGGTGCAGAGGCTGGTTTACGGGCTTTGCTACACGTTCGTGAGGTGCACAGGGCCCGTGTCGGTGGTTCCACCGGTTTACTATGCGCACCTGGCGGCGTATAGGGGGAGGCTGTATGCGGATCGGGCGGAGGGTTCAGGGAGTTGCGGTGTGGTTTCACGGGCAGTGGCGCCGGAGGTGGCGCCTTTGCCCAGGCTCAGTGATAGTGTTAGGAAGCTCATGTTTTATTGCTGATGTTGTTAGCTTGGTTATGTATGCTCGTTTTATCTGTATGATTGATTCATTGCTAATTGTCTCTTAATGTCTGCTGCTGCTGCTTCATTGTTGTTGTTTTTTTATTTTTATTTTTTGGGGTAAGTTAAAACATGTGTGCTATTGCTTATTTGGTATAACAAATAATAGGGATGGGAGTTCTGATCCAGAGACGGGTATGGCTAGTGCGGGCGGCGTTATTCGTGACCACTACGGGAATTGGGTGCATGGGTTTGTGATGAACATCGGGTTCTGTTCAATTGTCGGATCGGAGCTATGGGGTCTTTTACAGAGCCTGCTTCTGGCCTGGGATATTGGGGCTCGTTGCATTTTGGTTGAGGTTGATAACAAGAGTATAGTCGAGATGGTTAAAAATGAGCACCTTAGCGGATCGCATGGAGGGTTATTGAGAGGTATACGAGAGCTAATGTCTCGTAGGTGGGAGGTGGATATTGTTCATGGTTATAGGGCGGCCAATTTTGTGGCTGATTATTTGGCATCATTGGCGGTGAGATGCCCGGGCGGCTTGCGCGGGTGGCGAGCCCTTCGCCGGGGGTCAGCATGTGGTTACATCATGATAGAGTTGGTGTTGCTCCGTTACATCATGATAGAGTTGGTGTTGCTCATCCTCGGAGCGTGTTAATTTAGGCGTAGCGTAGGCTTTGCCTCCATTTATTGTACAAAAAAAAAAAAAAAATGCCCAAATGACTTGCTGTTACAAAGTTGAGAATTATTAGTATTTAAAAGCTTAAAGGGATGCTTGAATATATTTTTTGGTTTTGCGTTAATTTTTACAAAGGTGGTAATTTTTTTTTTTTTTTTTGTTTGGTTAATTTCGAAAAATGTAGTATACGGTATAGTGAGATTTTGAGTTTATTGAAAAATGTGAGTTTATTGAAAAATGTAGTATACTATTAGTGAGTTTGAGTTTATATTAAATTAATATTAACATAAAATAATTAAAGTAAATTTAATGTAATAGTAGAAGAGGATGATGTGAAAGATTGTTAAGAGCATGGTTGGAGCATGATGATATTGGGGTGTCATATTCCCGGCAAGTTCTTACATAGGCCCTCGGCCTCTTTCTTTGTCCCAAAAAAAAAAAAGAAAAGATTATGTGAGTGTTATGTGTAAGCAGTGACGAATTTAAAAATTTTATTTAGGGGGTCCGATTTTAAATGTTAAATAACGAACTTGTATTTTAAGTCAAAACACTCATTTCATATATAAATGTAGGGCAATGCTATATGTACACCCCTTTTTAATAAATTACACAAAGGGCAATGCTATATGTACACCCCTTTTTTACACACAAGGGGGTGTACATATAGACACCCCCTAAATGTATTTACTGTTATAAATATAAATAACGAAATGTGTATCATCAAGTTTTTAAAAACTTAGAATCTATATCACTCTAAAAAAATATTATATATATATATATATATATAATTTTATGTGTTTATTATTTAAGTTCAACAACTATAATTTTTGAAAAAATAAGTTTTTTGTTTGAAAAATTAATATAAATTGAACTTTTGCATCATATAGCATAACACTTTTGTTTATGAAAGTTTAACAAATGACATTTTTAACAAAAAGAATGAAGTTAAAAATATGTGATTACACAAAAAAAAAAAAAAAAAAAAAAAAAAAAAATCAACATTAGAAAAATATAAAAATCCAATTAAATATTTGATTTTATAAATCAATAAATCTATTTACACTTAAGAGACCGAAAGATTAAACATTATAAACATTTTCAATAACTTATCTAGAAATGTAAAATATAAGGATTGTTGGTACATTTTTCAATAAATAATACATTTTTTTGCATATATATATATATTATAAAAAATCAGGGGACCCACGTGCCCCTGGGCCCCATGTAGCTCCGCCTCTGTGCGTAAGAATGATTGTTTGAATTTGTTTAATTATATTGTAATATTAAGGATAATTGTATGAATTAAAATTGAGTTAGATTTGAGTTACGGTTAATTCCATTTTATTTAGAAATTTTGTATCAAGCATGTGAAGTTCAAGAAGATTTGCCATGTAGCTCTGCCCCTGTGCTTGTACCAATGCAGCTCTGAATTATAAACTTCAAACCTGCAAATATAAAGATGAAGCAATTCTTTCTATTATTATTATTATTATTATTATTATTATTATTATTATTATTATTATTATTATTATTATTATTATTTTCCAAAGAGGTGAATAAAATTATAAAATGACTGTTTAGTAAAACTAGCTGATAAGCTAATTGATAGTTGATAAGCTAGCTTATAGCTTATAACTGAAAAGCTAGCTTATATGATAAAGTGTGGTAAAATTAGTTCATAGGGTAAGTTTGGTAAGCCCAATAAGCTAGCTTGTAGCTTATTTGGTTAGTTTATAAGCTCCATCTATTAAAATAATTCTCGTTTGGTAGGACGAACTTTTTTAAAAAGCTCGAGCTTATCTCATAACGGTTTTGCTATGAAGATAACAGTTGGCTCCATAGTGGAGCCAACCTTCTATATACAACAAATAAGCCTACCATATTGAGAAAATTATATTAGTGTTATTTAAGTAATCAACGAATATGGTAGGTTTACTTGTTGTATATAGAAGGTTGGTTCCACTATGGAACCAATGGTTGGCTTCATAGCAAAACCGATCTCATAAACTGCTTTAGGTAGCTTTTCAAATAAGCTAGTTCAATTTTTTATTTCAGCTAACTTATCAGTTAATTTTACCAAACACTTTTATCATGTAAGGTAGCTTTTCAGCTATAACTCATAAGCTATAAGCTAAAAAAAATTACATATAAGCTATAAGCTAGTTTATAGGCACCAGCTAACTTATCAGCTAGTTTTACCAAACATAGCCATAAACTAGCTGAAATAAAAATTTCAACAAGATTATGTGAAAAGCTACTCAAAGAAGTTTATTAAATGAGCTCGAGCTTTTTAAAAAACTTTTCATACCAAACGAAGCTTATTTGAATACAAAGAAGTTATAAAACTAACCGAATCTATATAAATATAAAAAGGCTTGATATTTACCTGAAATAGTAGGTAAATTCCCGCCTAAATAATTCGTTATTACTATTATTAGTAATCTTTTTAAAATAAATTGAAAACCAGCGGTCTTTTTGAATTTTGAATTTAAATGTCCAAAATTTTTTTGTAATCTTTGGTCTAATTTTTTAGCAATAATAAAGGAAAGTAACTAAATATATTTAAGTATTGTACATAACTAACTATATTTAATTGTTGCACATATCCGATCACATATTTGGTCAAATATTGTACATATCCGATCACGTATGGACAATTGTTAGTATTAATCTTTTTTAATTTTTTTATAATGGATAATTTTTATTAATCTTTTTTGCTTAGTTTATTGATTTTTATTCTTTCTCAGATAATGATATTGGAAGTGGACCAGATTTGCATGTCAACTATTGATGGGCCAACTATTGATGAGCCAGATTCGGTGGTTGTTAATAAATAATCCATGTTTGGGCCAGATTTGTATTAAAAAAAAAAAAAAAAAAAAAAAAAAAA